CGCTTGGCTTTCCCTCTGAGGCCACAACCACATGCCATGGCAAATTGAATGTTTGGATTCCCAAAGTGATTATTCCTGGGAAGCTGGGGCATACAAGCCCAGTTTAGAGTGACTGGAAACCTAAACCAATATCATCTTTTTTTTCTGCCTTCTTCTGATCCACGTCCAGACCAAGCTCCTGGCATCTTATAGGGCACTCCGAGAATACAGCCTGTTTTCTAAGATCCAGAGAAATCAAAGTGTGAATGTAAGACAGCATTTTGAAAATAACCAGAGTCGCTCATCTTAAGTGCCACATCAGCAAACCAAAATGTACTTAAGTGTCTATGACCAGTTCTCCCAGAAATAAGGCCTAGGTCAACCAATCAGCACGAGTCTGCTAAGTGGAAGTTACCTGGCTCCAAGACTGCCTTTTGCTTCTCAGAAGGAAAGTAACCTGCTTGAACTAATGAGCAAATGCCCAGTATGACTTCCTTGTTCCTGCTCACCTTGGTCTATAACCTCTCACATTGTACAGCTCTTCAGATATCTGCTGGATTGGATGCTGTCTGATTCATGAATTGCTGAGTAAAAGTCTACTAGGTCAGTAAATTATCTATGGAAATTTTTCTTTTAACAGTTTATATAGACTAGACTGAGAAGTTATCCTCCATCCTCCCATGGTGAAGTCTAGATGACTCAGTTTAAGCTGCATAGGCCCCATGCCAAAACTTGGGCCTGCAGACTTCTCACCTGCTTCCAGCCGTGGGGATAGTGGGTGTTGGATGTTGAGTGGAGAGGAAGGCACTAAGAGATCTGGAAGTGGCTGCCACTAGCTATTTGAGGATGAGGACCCTCATTACAGATGACCATCTTCTCAACCCCACACCATTCTTTGATTCTTCTCTGAATCTATTCTCTGGAGCTGCTCTCACCTTGGCCAGTGATGACATCAGGATCCTGATGATAACTCAGGTTGACATGTGCTCTTAAGAGGAAATACCCAGAAAGTATCTGCCTGAATCCTTGGCCAACTCACGGTTCTTCAGTTCTACCTGGCTGTGCGTTAAAGCTAGAGGGAGTACCTGACTTGGTGGGTATCGGTGGTAAGGGAGAAATAAACAGGACAGGAGCCTACAGGTCGACCACGTGTTTGTGGGGAAAAGAGACTGGTTCTGAAATGATTGTATTAGACATAGTCAAGATGATTATGGGGCTTCCTGGAAGTTGACTGCTAGCCGGGCTGGCAGCAGCAGGAGGCACGGGGCAGGTGATACATGCCCTTCAGAAATGCTGTATTAGCAGGTGCTGGCTCCTCCACAGAAGATCACATACTCTAGGTCCTGACCAAAGTCGATTCCTCTCACCACCTTCCTTCTGAACCCCTGCTCACAATTCATCCTTGAAATTGGAATGTAGCTCTATACACTGAATGTAATGAGGGAGTGATTAACCTGACAGTTATATGCATTAGATATTTTTCCACAAACTGGCAGCAAGGCACTTTATAAGTTTGATTCTTGTGTGTATATGCCTTCCTGAGTGAAGCTAAGTATAAGTTCTTTGTGGGGATAAAAATGATTTTTTGAAAGAGCAGGTCTGAAGGCTCAGTCTGAGCCTCTCAAAGTAGCATCCTGGTTTCATTTCCCCAAACGCATGTAATTTGAAGTTTTATTATTATTTTTTAATTAATTGGCAAAGGCACACAATTTAGATCAACTCTGCATTGCCCCGGGGGAGAATAAAACACAGAAGCTTGCAGTCCTCTGTTAATTGGGATTTCACTAAATACAGCACTCATTCAGCAAATGGGTAGAGAGGGAGAGAGGAAGAAGGGAGAGAGAGAGGGAAAGAGAGTCGGAGGGAGGGTGTTGGAGGGAAGCTTACTTCCCGAGCACAGAGTCCTTCCCAAGATATCATGAGCAGCAAATTAAACGATCCTTCAGCACGAATTTTGACAAGGAAATTTCATTAGAGATTTAAATCTCGATGGAAGCTCTAGTTGCTGCATTAAGATATGAAAATTGTGCAAATATTGTTCCTTAGAATAATGTTTGCTGCAGGTCATTGAGTTTCAGTCCATGAAATTTAGAGTGATAAATGTCATATTGGAAATAACTAGAGGGAGGAGGGGTCTGGAGAAAAAGGATAGAGCCCTGCAGTGGGGAGCTCAGGCCCTAGAGTTATTGGATTGGAAGGTAGACTCCAATATTAACTAGCTGTGTGACCTTAAGCAAGCTGATTTAACATCTCTGAGGCCTAATTTCCTCATTGATAAAATGTGAGCACTTTCCAGGAACTCTCTGCTGGACTATGATTGTGAGAGTTTAATGAAATATTCCAGGAAAAGCCCGTCAACACAGTGCCTGGCAAATGCAAACTCTAAATACATATTAGAATGCTTATGATACAGGAAGTGGGCTAATGTTTACTTGCCATTGATTCCTCAGCAGTCTCAGTGATAGGAACCTATAGGTATCATTACTGCCATTATTGAGATGAAAAGCCTGAGGATCGGGGGCCACATGAATCTGCCAAGGTCACAAAGGAGTGTTTCCATCAGAATTATGCACATGCTTATGTAGCTACATGTTTTTCACCCTCACTAGCCTGTGGAGGCCTCAGAGCCTAAATCCTGTTGGTATACTTTTGTACTAATAGAATAAAACTGATTAGACGGCCCTTGGTGTATGCTCAGAAAATATTTATGGAATAAAGTAATGATTGCATCAATAAATGGATACACACATGCAGGTATGCAAGGAGGAGATAGGTTTTTCCCCTTTAAATTGTGTCTCAGGGACTCATCCATAGGTTTTCAAAGTTTGTTTGTTTGTTTGTTTGTTTGTTTATGGTTTCAAGGCATTCTGGCATTTTTGATTCATACAAAGATAAGCCGTTTTAGAGAAAACAGAACAAAAAGGAAAAAAATTCTATATACTTCCATAACCCAAATACTTAAAGTCCCCTTTTAGCATTTTAGTGTATAATTTTTCCACCATTGCAGCAGTGGATATTCTTATCACAATATTATTTGAAAATAATTTTCTATCTTGCTGTTTCACTTAATAGAAACATTTCATAGAGCTATTTTTAATGATAATTTAATAGAACATGATAGATGAGCCATAGGATGTGTTACTTAAGCTTAATCCTGTTAGTTTTTGGAATGTGTCCAATTTTTCACCATGGTGAATATCATTGCACTAAATATTTTTATGTACGCAAGACCTAAGTTTTCGTGGTTAGTAACTGATCATGGGGCCATTTTCTTTGAGGAGCACACAGTCCTTATGCTGGGCCTCATCTTCAACTATTGTCATGATGGACTATGATATCTAATTGTATGAAAAAGGTCTGATTATTGTTTAAAGAGGGGTTATTTTACCCATTTTGTACCATATGCAAGCCCTGCCCCAGTACATGGTACGTGATAGATATTCCACACCTATATGTGAAAAGAAAAAGGAAAGAAGGAGGCGAGGGAAGGAGGGAGGGTAAAGGGAGGAAAGAAAATAATAATGAAAGAGAAGGACATAAAGGGGAAATGGAAGGGAAGGAAAGTGAAGGGAAGAGAAAGAAAAAAAGGGAAGAAAGAAAAACAAAGAAAACTAAGTACATTAGACAAAATTTTAAAAAAGAAAGAAAAAGGAAGAAATCAGCAAGCCTGTTCTAGGTAAACTTTCTAATATTCCAAATACATGTCTCCTGCCAGACCTATACCTTTCAGACATCAGCTTAGCATCTGGCCAAATCACAAGACAGAAAAGATACAACACACTCCAGTAAATGCCCCTATCTGGATAATTCCCAGAGAGCCGGGCTTCACATTTCAGAGAACTGCAGGCTAGCTTGGTGGCTAGATTTAGGCAACCTTTACTTTTCTCAAAGAGAGCTAACTTTGAAAAGGAAAGATTAGTGAATACTGCATAGAGACTTGCCTTGCCAAGATAAAACACAATCAAATTAAATAAAGTATTTCCCCTTTAAAAAATTTTACACTTACCTGAGGAAATGGAGCTAGAAATTCAGGGAGGATATGGAAATATTCACTTTGAGACGATGTTGAAAGATGGCTAGACATGTTCATTACCCAATGACGTGCACACTCACAGACAGGACAACCTCTGTCTGTCCTCGATACACAATACTTTGCTCAAGTTTATGTTACACAAGTTTGGTATTCAGAAAACCACAACATAGCCTTAAATATTTGGAAATGCCTGTCATTGTCTTCAATGAACTAAATGGCTGACTCAATAAAAGTTCCCTTTCCTTAGTGGTGACTCCATTATGGTGGTCACTGAAAGAGGAGAGGATTATTTACAGATAAAGTAAAAATTTTACATTTGACCAGAATTGGGCATATTGGTATAGAACTTTACCTTTTACTCTCCATAGAAAAAGAAAGTAATGACTAGCAATATTTATTAAAGGGAAATCACCTTCTTTCATGAATGGGAAAAAAAGTGTTGTTGGTACCGTAATCCCTGACATGGAAATAGTGCTGCTAAAAATGGAGCTTTTCAGTTTATTTGAACACTTCTTATATTGTTTTATATGCATATTTCTTCACTTCAGTAAGTAAGGTAAAAAGGTTAATAGGTTTAATATTATCACAGATTTACCTACCAGAAGTTGACACTTTAATGCCTGTAGTTTCCATAAATTCTTGTGGATAAATAATAAGCCTTTTTATTTTTCTATACCCTTGCTTTCTATAGCCTATTTCCTAATGCCACGGTGGTGGTGGTGGGGTAGAGGGAGGTGGGGGGTCAGGATCCTGAAAGCTAAGGGAGTAGGTTTTGCTGAAATACCCAATGGAGACTAGTTACAGTGAAGCTAAATCTAAAGACCAGGCCCCATCACTGGAGAAGACCTGGACCTGGACCAAGTTAGTTCTAAACAAGCTTTGAACAAACATCTGTCACCAGCTTCCACAGAGACATGGGAGTGCAATACAGCTGAGCTAGCAACAGTGGCTCAGTATACTGTGTTAGAGAAGAAAACGCTTCACCTACTTGGATCCGACAAGATGGAATCAGTTTTCGGCAGAAACTGATCACAACGGACTCCTTGGTAGCCTTCTTTGCACCTGAGAAAAGGGGATAAATAACAAACATGTGCATGTGGTTGTGAAAGTTTCAAGATTTGAACAAGCAAAACAGCCAGCGATTACATAAACGTCACAGTACATTCATGCTTTTGTGTAATTTCATTTAGTCTGTTTCTGACATCAACAAGGAGATTTTTAGAGTCTATGTGCAAAAACACCCACCACTCCTTTGCTTTTATAATTTTATATGTAATACCTAACGAGCAAATGGAATAGCTTTTTAAGGTGCGCTCATATTACAGTTCCGGATGCAAGTACACCTTTCTTCACGAAATGCACTGGTTTCTAAGAGGCTGCAATGCCCTGTCAGAAGCACCATATTGCAAGTGTCATTTTTCCTATTAAAAAACATGTTTTCATATGATTTTTCAAATAGTATGAGTAGATTTATACTGTTTATTTATACTCTTGTGTTTTATTGTTGGTTCCTATACTATATATTTTTTAACTTAGCTATTCTTCAAGTCAGTGTCACCTGACTGCTTGGCCAGACATAACAGCATTTATTTCACATCTGGCATGATCTAAAAGGCATCGATATGTGCAAGGTCTCTGTGCATTTTCTTGAAACTCACATTCTTCTCTCCTAATTTTCTCTTTTATAATCAGCAAACATGTGCAAAGTGCCTGCTTTCTACCAGGCATTGTACAAGGTGCCTTTCCTGAGGAGGTGCAATTTGGAGGTGAGGAAATTTTCCTGGAAGCACCTGCGATGAGGCATGTCACCTCCGTGCTGCCAGTCTTCTGTTGAGACTTCACACAGCTCACTCCCGCAGGGCTGAGCGGCTGGCTTGGACAGCAGCCGCTCATCAGCTGGCAGTTCAAGGGACAAATACAGCCGAGGCAGCCTCCAACCTCTGCTTTGGAACAGTCTCTGTAGGAGGAGCTAGCATTTAGTGGTCAGCCTGAAGCTTAATCTGTCATGCTCGAGTTAAGCAGGGGAAGCTTCCATTGTTGCTTGTGGAATGAATCTGTCCTACTTACAGAGGGGAAAATTGTGCTGCTGGCATAAAAATCAGATTTAAAGAAACAATCCTCTGGTTGTTAGAAATCTATGAAATCGACAAGAGAATTCAAAGGGTCTGTTCTGTCAGAGATGGGGCTGTGAATTCTTTCTCTAGAATATGCTTTGTTTTCTGAGCATAATAAACTGTTAGATAAGGTCTATTGCAACTGGAGCAGCAACATTGAAAGGCACCTAGGTAATTTTTCTACCTTTCATTGTGAGTCAAATTGGAACTCAGGTAATGGGGCAGGCTCTCTTTCGCACCTTTTAAAGCCTGGCACTCCCAAGTGTATTTGGCAATTTTCCTTGTAGAATGAGAACAAAGACTTCTGATGTGCGCACACCCCACATATCCAACAGGCTATTGAAAAATTTTGTTTAAGCAGCCACATATTTTCATAACCTCTTTAAAAATTCATTTACTGCACTTGAAGTAAAGCAGGTATATCACTGGGTTTAGAATGTAAAAACTCAGAAAATACTTAGTACTGGAGCACATTTGTGATGAAAAACAAAGTCCTGTTCTCTAGAAGCTGCCCTAACATTGTTACTTTGCCTTTATTCAGAATTACCTGCCTATAGTGCTTTAATTTTCATTTTCCTGTCATGATGAGTCATGTGCTGGGTGTGTGCTCTCGTGTGCATTCATTTTTTATCGGAAGTTTTTATTGCTGACATATGTGGGAGATGTTCACACCCTTTATTTACTCTTTATATCTTCATTTAATATGAAAATGGTATCCTAGGGAGATAGCTGCTTTGAAAAGAAAGTGGGATTTTTTTCTGTGTTTTGTTTTGTTTTTTAAGGGTCGTTCGTAACTTAAGATGCATTATTCCATTTGTGTGGGGGGGGAAAAAAAGAAGGAAAGATGTTTGACATTTTTCTAGTCTTAAACAGATTTTCCATGAGTTTGGGCCCACTTGGAAGTGTTCAGGCCTTTTGGAGTATCAAGAAAATTGCACTGAGTGTCCTCCTGCTGCTTTCGTACCCATGTGCTGTAGACAATAGAGTGTGAGGATGTCGGAGCAGCCCAGCCCAAGGCAGGAGACCCACCAGAGGCTGCACGAGTGGATAGACACAAGCCCTACTCCTTCATTAAGAACAGAGTCCCTGCTAATGGATACTGGATTTTAGGACTGACAAATTATGATTTCCATTGAAAAATCACATATATGTCACCTTGATAAGTTCAGACCCATTCAAATGTGAAGACGGAATGTGATAAGCAGGTAATACCAATGAGGTGGATTGAATTTATGACAATATTAAAAACATAAAACAAAGATAAAAAGTCTGAAGATGCACTTCTGTTTCACAGATTGAGTTTGGAAGAACTTCTCACAGTGTGATAGGCAGCACATCTTTTGAGAAATAGCATTGCATGTTTGTTTTGGTTTTGGTTAGTGTTTCAGGGGAGTCTGAGAGTGCTTTTAAAAAACAAAACAAAACAAAACAAAAACGCTTTTTGAAAGATACAGGTATAAAAACAAGAGAAATTCATATAAGAAAAAATGTTTTCTGTGCATCATAATAAGGCATGACTTAATTTACTACAAATTTTAAAAGTATATGTGTAATTTTTTTTTTAGCTGAGCCATCCTGCCACCTGTTGGCAACTTAGTGGCAGCTCAGCTTGGGCCGGGAATTGAACTGGTGACCCTGTTGCTCAGAGCACGCACTCTTGAGCGAGCTCTTAACCAACTGAGCCACTCGGCCAGCCTGTGTAATCTTTAATACATGTTTAACAAAAAGCACAAATCTTAGCTTAACCAGGTTAATATTCTATTATTTTTCTCATCTGCATTGCTTTCAAAACTCCTTTCAATTCATCCTCTCCCTATTCTCTGAATTTCTTCAAACCTGAGAAGCCTTGTATCACAGAGATTTTATTTAAAAAAGCAATGTTCCCTGGTGGCTTTCTACAGATACATTTTGATTCACTGGATGGCCATAGAGCAGGGACCAGGCTGAGGATAGGAAGTAGTATCAGCAGTGAAACAACTACAAAGCAAACTCAGTATGCAAGAGCTAAGAAATTTTACTTTGAAAAAAATATTAGTCTTAAATTTTGTATGTTTATCAGCTCTGAGGTGAAGGAGTTGTCACTTCGGAAACCAGTAAGTTCTTGATGTTGCTTGTTTAGTTCATTTCTAAATTTACAAGGCAGTGGGGAAGAGCATAAGTTGAGGACAAAGTATCCAAATCAGGGTAGGGCAGGTGAGAGGCTGAGGGGACAGCTCTGGAGGGTAACCCCCAAATAGCAGAGATTGGCCCCTGCAATAAAGAGGGAGGAAGAGCCGGGAGACTCTGGGTCCCACTTAAGCATCAACAAAGTATCTCTCTCTGCTGGTGAGCCACCGGCCAGATCACGACTGGGGTCCTCCCTTCCCACAGGGAGAGCGCCAGCTGTGTGATTTCAAATGCAGACATAACTTTTTCTACTACTTACGCTCTTCCACCTTGGCCCTCACACCCCTCCCATTTGTTCAGTGGCTCCTCAAATAGCAAGCCACCCCTTTAATTCATTTTTCCTCTCCTACGTTGTCCCTGAGGAAAAGCCCAGCTTTAGTGAGAAGTTTTAAAAGGCAATCCTCAGACAAAAGTGAAGAGAATAATACTGGCAAAGATGAGAAAATATGAAAAATTTTAACTGTCAGCTGGAATTTAATACTTGTTTTGTCAGTGCAGTAAAGCAGAAATGATCAACATATCCTCCAGCTTGGATGTGTAGGGTGCCAAGGAAGAGACTTTTTGAAAACAATCAGGTCATTTGCTGATGTTGCCACAGAAACTGGCACCCTTTGGCCAGTTAGAAGTAATCAGCCCACACTGCTAACTTCAAACCATTCCCACCTCTTCTCTTACAACACTCACATAACATTTTAGTGCTTGTAACCCATTTTCTGAATCACAACTAAATTACAACTAATACTATTAGTGACTTTGAGTGAAAATCGGAGAACTTGCACATGTGCCCAACTGCCTCCCTACATGTCCAGGTTATTCCTCAGTTTACCTTCTTCCTCCTATTAGGAAAATAAAACAACACAAAAACTCTTCCTTTGAGGGAACTGTACTATCCGCTTAGTCCGCATCTGTTGATTTCCTGGTCATTTACTCATCAGTGGAAGGTGTTATCATTGCTTCACTTCCTTCTTCTCCATTCCTACTCTGTCTTCACTCTCAGTGTCTTGATTATCCACAGGGGAGGCCCAGGCAATTCACTGGCTCTTACACATGTCTTCCTCATCTATATTGTGACCAACAGTGTTGGGTTTACAGTCTCTCTTCTCTGCTTTGTATTTGCTGGGTGCACATCCGGCAAATTGTTTAATATCCCTGTTCCCCAGTTTTAACCCAAATAAAATGGAAATGATACCAGGAAGGAGAAAAATAAACAATCACACCTGGTTGATATTATACAGATACATTTTGCCCATTTTAATGCCTAGAGACCTTCTGCAAAGATGCGTTTTACATAATTTGCATAAAGAGAGAAATGTGCCAAGGATAGAAAAATGTTGAAATGGTCACTTCAATCCCTGCGTTGTGCCTGGTCTCTGCATACACTTTGGATAAAGTGTATGTGCTTCCTTCCTAGAAACGGATGTCACACATAACATTTAAACTAGCAGAAATCAATTAACTTCACAAGAGAAATGGTGGCAATGTTACAGGAAAGTAGACACTTTGTCAGTGATATACAAGGCTGCCAATTTTAAGGGGCCTATTAACACTGATTTGAAAAAGGAACAATCCCTCCAGGTATTCTTTTCTAAGTCCTGCCAATTCTCCTTAGCCTCAATGTCAGTCCTTGGTTGGGAAAAATAGAAAGATCATCAGGCGTTTAAACCTCACATTTTAGCGGAAGGGAGTTTTGAGCACTCCCTGGTTTTAAATCCAAGACTGGTTATTTTTTAGCTGCTTTAGCTTCCTGTGCCTCCTTTTCTTTATCTGTAAAATGGAGAAAAT